TTACTATCTAAATCATTTATTAATTCATGTAGAAAGGAAAATGTTTTCAATGGAAACTGTATGCTTTAATGTAATCATGCTATTTGATACTATGCTTAGATATTCCATTGTCCTAAATAATTATTTTATTTAAATTTTCACTTTTAATATAATTTTTTATAAAAAGAAAATTCGAACTCGATAATCATGTCAAATCAAATTTACAAATATCTATCTTGCTATAATTAAGTTTTTTTAAAAAAAAAGAAAAAACATTTGGCTGGACGACAAAATTAGGTGATCACGATTAAAAAAAATGGCTTTAACCCGATTACGATCCACCTATAGCTATAATGTGACCATTAACGGTGGATTAATGAATGTTGTAACCGCTAAATAGTCCTTAACCAAATTTGCTTCATGAAAGATGATTTTTCACTTTCCGAATTCGACCAAACCATTCTCTTGAACTCTTTATTATTCGTCAATTGATCTTGAAAGTCAAAACTATCATCATTTCATAAACTATAGACCACTTCTACCAATACCTGGCAGGCCCAATCTTCCAAATTAGTTATAACCACCCAGGGGCGGAACTCTTAAGGGCTCAGGGTACCGAACTCCTCTGACCGACCAAAAATCCCCTTAAGAATAGTCACGGTTAATTTTGCGTCATATATATTCGACCATCGATCTTAATTATGAATATATAATTAGTCCATCCAAGTCTATAGCTGGTTCCGCTATCGTTTCTAACTTTGGCAAGTATATTCACAAAATATATTAAAATGGACTTCGGTTTGTTTTGTATATGACCTTTTTTTTTCCCTCCTGGATATATTATAGTTGGTATATTCCATATTCGATGACCGGAATTATTATATCGATTGATTTATTTGTTTATTTTGTATAATGGGGAAGTCAAAGAATTAAATACAAAATGTCTCTCTAGAGACGGAGATAACGATATTTTATCTATTTCTAACTATCACATATGATAACAGAAAGCGTTCATAAAATATTCAAAAGGATACGAAAAAAAAAAACAAATTTTACAAAGTATCCATCACCATATTTTATTTACGGGGCATGATCAATGGTCACTTGTCAAGGGAGGTTGAATAACCCTCTAATTTACCGGAGACCTTGCGATTTGCAATCAGCTTCGTCTTCCAACTGTACTAGTCTAGCCTTTTAGGAAGAGCGCGGATTTGATACTTACACACTATAGAAGAATGCTTCGTTGGTGGATTGGTGGATGGGGGAGGACAAGTTTTTTTTTTTTTTAATTTTAAATTTTGAATTTTTGAATTTTTGGGTTAGGATGTGGTGTTTTCGTGGTAGATTCTTGAAATTATCTCCAGATATGGCGATAATGGAATGAATACTGGAGCATTGTTCTTAATCACTTGTCGGGGAGTATTCAAGAGGCACACAAGAAGTTTGGGATGCTGCGTTCAAGAGGATGGAAGACTGCTGCAAAAGTGTAATTTGCCGTTTGTACTTTTGCGCTTTTTTCTGTATTTTCTTTCATTTCGTTTCTTAGTCTTGCCTCTTAGAAACTTAGGTACTAGTGATTTTACTCATTGGTTTAATTACCGTGAGAAAGTGTAACCAGGTAGACACCTTATGTCATTTAACATAATTGTGATGTAATAGGCTGTGTTTGTTTTTTTATGAAATAAAGTCGTGTCCTTGTGAGTTTTGAGGCTTACTTACAAAGTTGGCGGCTTTGTTTCTACCAAAAGGTTGTAATAGGTAGGGGCATGAGTATGTGTTTGGTAGTGTTTGTCTTGATAGGTTGGGGTCATCCCTTCGGGGGCTTTGAGGCGAGCCTATGAGTGGGAGGACACTAATATGCTAAAACTCCCTCCGTCCCATAATTATTGTTCACTTTCCCCAAAATTATTGTCCAATTTGACTTTTTATAGATCAAGTTACACATTTGTCCTTAGTAAAAAACATTATCCATAAAATCTTAGTGGTTAAACAATTACTTATGTAGGGGTATATCCGGTTGTTTAAGGTAAAATATAGTTAAGTTTGACCAAAAATAAAATCTTTTATTTTAGTAAAAGTGGACAATAATTATGGGACGGAGGGAGTATTTATTTTCTTTTTTTTCTTTTCTTGTTTTATATATATTGTCTCTTCTTTATGAGAAAAAAGAAAAGAGTGCTTCATGGTATGTAGACCAATGACTAATAGTATGAGTTCATAATATCCCTTTTCCTTCACTATACAGTAGGAAAGTTTCAGCCCATTTCCATCTTACCAACGAGATTTGCGTAGTCCAAATCAAAGCCCATATGGATACTGGCTCGTAGAGATGAACATCATTGAAGACTCATTATCATCTAGTGGTGTGCATTGAGCAATAATAACCTTCCAGTTATATTTTTTACTCCCTCCGTCCCAAAATTATTGTCCAATTTGAGATTTCACTTTTAGTACAATTTGAACTAAAAATAAAAACTCAAACTGGACAATAATTATGGGACGGAGGGAGTAATATATTATCAGAAAGTTTTTTCACTGACTAAAATTCATTCAATTATTTCAGAAATACAATGGTTTCTTTAGTTACTTTTTTTTTTGGGCTGAAGTTTCTTTAATAGTTTTCCATTATTGTTGAGAACTTGCCATGTGGATCAATTATTGGCCATATTGTGATTTTTTTAATTTTATTTTTTAAAAAAAAAATAAATGAGCACATCTTCATCACGATGTTATCACAAAATATAATAACTGAGTCCAACTGTTATCTACTTAACAATTAGATATGAAATCTGAAGCATTGATGGATGAAGTATGGACAGTCGAATCATGAATGTAAGAGACATTACTTGATTAGTATATACTAATCCACTGTAACTCCATCTATTCCAAAAAATAATCTATTGTAAATTTTAGAATTTGTACTATTTTTTAGATTTTTTGGGTATGGGAGTAATAAATATTAAATCACATTCAACATGTATAAACCCATTATTAAAATGTAATATGCTTGGCTTAGCACGATAACACCAATAACTATTACCATATGTTAAAAACTATTACCTATTTTGATTCATTGAAAGAGAGTGAAAAAAAAATTTAAAATAAGTACAGTTCTTTAATTTCGATGCAATATTTTTCGAAATTGCTTTCAAAATAAAATAATACTGACAATAGTTAGTTGTTTTAGAGGAATATAGGTTGAGATGTTTTTGTAATTTAAATACTGTAAGTAAGTGTATCTTAAATAACACAAAAATTTACCGATATTTATTTTAGAATGACGTGACAAAATTTGACTTAATGATAACAAATAACCTAATTTAAAAGTTTAATGTAGTATATCATAAAAACATTACTTATAAAAATAATACCTTCCCTTCCACTGCATGTCATGCTTCAACGAACTTTTTTTTTCGAAAGATCGAAACAGGAAAGTAACTTGATAGTAGTATATGTATTGCTACAAGGGTGTTTTTTTTCCCGGCAAATTCCATTTCCGTCCATTAGTAATGAAACCATTTATACTATTTAACGATAATCTCATGTGATTACTTCAATTATTTCTTTAAAAAAAATAAAAGTTATTAATTAGGGCCGAAAATAAAATTCAGTATATATTACATGCTGATGTCTAAATTATTACTACCTCCGTCCCACAAAAATAGTTCACATATTGAATTTTCAAATTTGTACTAAAAATAGTACAAAACTCAAAATTTAATATGGACTATTTTTGTGGAGGAGAGAATTAACTTTGTGTCCGCTACTCTGCTTACTTTAGTCACGTCGCAAAACTCGAAGGAGGATATTAGGGCAATTAGCAAAGAAACCTAACACGGTACTCAGTTTAGTTGCCTATGTCTCGGGGTTTTTTTTTTTTTTTTTGTCTTTATAAAACCATTTCAAAACGATGTTGGTTTTATGCGTTTTTAGCATGAAACATGGAAGTCACTCCGCATGATGCGGGGCGTCAATTTTGTTACTTAGTTGGCTTTTTATTTTTTATTTTTTTTTCCACCTGAACTCCTTTCCACAATCTGTTTTAGTTTTGACTTGTTTTGATTAGTACCCCAAGACGGCCTTGTTTGGACAGCAATTTATTTTATATTTTCGCTCGTTTTATTTCTTAAACACAAAACCCAATAAAAAAGAAAATATCATCCAAACAACTTTCTGATTTACATTTTAAATTACAACTTGAAACACTTTTTGTTAATATAATGACCATTTTAGAACTACAAATAGTTCAGTGACAAATTTGGCAGGATTCTGTTGTTGAGTGATTGTTTTTGAAAAAATTCTTTCTTGCAGTGACTATAATTGACAGTATTTAATTGTTTAGTGATGACTTATACTTGATATTTCAAAATGGAATTCAAAATACTTTTTTTCAAAACCAACGTCCAAACAACATTTTTATTTCCCATTTAGTTTTCAATTTGAAACACTTTCCACTTTTAAGTGACAAAATGAAATGTAAGTTGACGTCCAAACAAGCACTTAGTACTTTAATGCCATAACCTACCTTAGATCAAACCTAAACCTTCTTATTTTTTTCCGTCATCCCGTAACTTCAGCTGTCGATCTTGGAGACGCAAACTTTTGCGAAAATCACCGCAAAAGAAATTTTTTTTTTTAAAGAATTGTTCGGTTAAGTTATGTTGATAAAAAGACATGGATTAGCAATTATATTAGGGCAATTAGCAAACAAACCTAACATGGTACGCAAAAAATAAAATTTGAGTATGAAGGAAAAAGATTCAATGGATTTTGTAGGAGTTTTATGGTGAAAAACTGAATCAAATTCAACGGACAGAAATTAAAGAGGAGTTTTCATTTCTTCATTTAATTTTTTTTTCTTTCTTTCATTCTCAAACCATGGCAAAAAAACGAGAGAGAGAGAGAGAAATTTACGTGGCCAAAGTCAACTCAATCGGAATAAGCCACGTGTAAGATGGGGACTCAGTCCCTAACCTTCCAATATCCAAAATCACTCCAATCCGTCAGCACATCCTATATAATTCAAAACTTCCTCACTCTCCCACCAGAAAGTCTTCTTCCCACCTCAAAACTTCAGACAGAAAATGGCCGTACGACCACCCCCTCCTTCCGGCACAATCGCCATTGCCGTTCTTTTCTTCTTTCTCGGAGTTGCCGCCGCCCGTACTCCATCAATTTTACAAGTAAACGAACTCCCCGCCGCCGATGCGGACGTCAGCCATTCCCTCACACTCCCAATCTCCCAGATCAATCAGATCCTCCGTCTTCCTTCCGACGACGTCAACGTCAACCCAGATCCGGAATCAGCCCAACCCATCACCGTTAGATCCGTTCCGTTGACGCGGGTCACGATCCATGACTTCCGCCCGATCGACCGCCGCCACGTCTCCGTCAGTTCGACATTGCCAAATCGAATCTGCATACACCGCCACCGACTCAACATCCAGCCTCTCTTAAAGCCCGTGGATGAAACTATGTTGCCGTTAACATCCGACGGTGGTGCTGAGGAGGAGGAGAAGAAGGAGATTGACCCGGCAACCGTAAACTGGGTCAAGTTGCCCCACCATCATCACCACCACCACCATCACCACCGCCGTCATCACCACATTCACCGCCACCACGATGATGAAGATGATGATGGATTAGATGGGTTCTCCAAGTATCTAATGAAGCACAGATATGATAAATTCGGCAGAGAAAAGGGCTGGAAACATTTGAACCATAATAAACGCAGAGATCACGACGATGAGGAGGTGGAAGAGATGAAGAAGCCTGAGATTGTAAAGAGAGAAGAAGCGCAGGGCGGTATTGTTCAGCGTATTCGCAAGTTCTTGGCTCACATCTGAGTATCAAAAAATTTCTGCCCACATTTTTCTCCACGAGTTTTGATTGGATCGATCCTCTGTATTTCTGGATGTACCGATTCGTGTTTTCTGTGTAGTAAGTAATCTGCATCCGTCTGAGATGTGTTGTAGCCTTATTATCATGTATAGAGTAGATATAATCATATATGATGAATGTGTTCATTTTGGGAGTTACCAACGTTTTACTGTAAAAGTGTTTTGAAGTTATCATCTCCAACTCTGTTGTTGAATCCATTTCCCCTGTGAAACTAATGGCATATGTGAAATCTTTTATCATTGTTGTATAATGTGGTCCATGTAGTCGATTTCTTCTTCTTGTATTTGGTGAACGATTCAAGTTTGTCATTATCTGTTCCTTATTATATATATATATATAACATGCTATCACTTTTAAGGCTAGGCAAAAGGATTCGAAAGCAAAATGATGTTGCAGGAACTGATCAAATGATTTGAAGAAGTATCGATCTTCCTCCCAAAAACTACAACTGTTGATGGGCTGGTTGAAACTTAGGTCAGCGGAGATTCACCTTATTACTAAAGTGGACGCATATTCGGGACGTAAGAGTTAGATGGTAGGTTTTGCCTTCCCAACTAAGGAGGGGGTAAAAGAGAAGAAAGACGAATATATCCATGTTTGTTGGTGTTATGGTGTTCATGATATCATGTTCTTTTTTTTTTTTTTAATAATTTCGAGGATACATCAGCACAATGGGAAGCTGGCACAATTTTGATCTCAAACGATCATGCTGGTAAATGTTAATAAAATTAAATTTCTGAGCTGAGCTGTTGTGAGTTGTGACTTGTGACAGAGGAATTTGTGAGAAAACAACATAACACTTACCAGCCAAAATCAGTTCCGTCAACCTTCAGATAGAACATATATAAAAAAATAAAAAAAAACTTTTACCTTTCTATAAAAACTGAACTGAGCATGTGTCAAGAACAAAATACATCATACACGGGTCGTTCAAATCTTCCAACGTACCACTTGTTAAAGAATACAAATTACACAGCGAGATACCAATTTTTTTGGGGTGTAATGATATACAAGTTACACATAAAAAAGTTCGAACAAAGAGGATCTCATCTAAGTATGCGGCTCCTAAAAAGCATTGGAAGAGCACGCACCCGCATGGAATGTACTGGTGAGTTGCGAACATGGCCATGGGCTAACTCCAACTGCAGCTCCACTTACATCAGAGCACTTCCAGGGAGGAGTTCTCGGCCCAGTTGAACCATGTAGGTTGATATTAGAAAGACAAATCCCTGTAAACGGAGCGTTCTTCAAACCGTGCAACAAACCCGCTTGCTTAACCCCATAACCCCAGACATCCTTAATCGTCACCTCCTTAACAACCGGTAGAGCATTAGGGTTGTAATTTTCATCTGGATGGTCGCCTACATCTCCTGCAATTTTAATCCCTTGCCGGGCATTTTCCATATACACGTTCGACACTGTTATGTTCCTTATCAACCCTCCCCTGCCAATATTTGTCTTCAAATGAATGCCGACTCCCACATTATAGAGGTTTATGTGCTCTGCTAACACATTTTGTATGCCTCCAGATGTTTCGCTTCCAATGGCAATCCCAGCAAATGGAGATGACCCAGTTACCCGCCTGATGGTGATGTCGTGGCTAGGCCGATTGTAAGCTATTCCATACTCGTCCCACCCACTTTTCACGGCAACAAGGTCATCTCCTGTGGAAATGTATGAATCTTCGATGCATACATGGGTGCTTGAATCTGTATGATACAAGAATAAGATGCTAAAAAGTTACAAACTTCCATGAGAGGCTGTCACAGCAGGAGAACACAAGGCATCATCATGAAAAAGGCACGTCATGTTACAATGTGCAAGTATGCAACACCAACGGTTAAACAAGAAGGAATGCAAAATATTTTTGGTTCCTTTTTTATTATTAGCTTCCCCATCCCAGGAAAACATTGCATTTGGTGAATTTTCACATCAAGAAATAGAACTCGAGATCAACCAGTTTGGACATCGCAGTCAGCTGTACAATTATATATTTTCTATCCCTTTTCCAAGATGCAATGTAGCAGTATAATCTCAAGGCTTCATTAAATTACCATATGAAATAACGAAACTGTTAACATGATGCATTACATACCTGGATCAATTCCATCAGTATTGGGGGAATCAGTCGGGGCTACTATAGTTACATAATTGATCACGACGTTGCTGAAACCAAATAAAAAGGAATAAGTATTAGCTACTCAACCCAATGAAGAGCCAACAAATGAAATTTTTCAGGAACTAAAAGCGTGTACAATGTACTAGTGTTCAAAACTTCAGTTCAGGCAATGATTTGTTAACTGCCCTCGAGAAAAAACAGTGTGGATGGCGAGTTTGATCAGGCTCGCATGTTATTTCTAGCATCAGAGTATTTATAACTGGACAATGAATAAACTTCTGAACGCTATAAGCCTTGCAAAGAAATAAATGAAAATTTACACTTTTCAAGTTCCATGCTCAAGCATCAAGGTGCTTAAATCAGGATCAATCATCCGAAAATAATTAGATGATGCTGGTAATATTTAGTATTCGTGATCCAAACAGTTGGAAATCCTCGTTAAGCTACTTACATTTAACTAGATAAGCCACAAACGTAATGACATCATCCCACAACTATGTTAGTGTAGCGAGGCACCTTGAAGTAAAGTTACCTGCAATACACAGGATGGATGTTCCAAAATGGCGAATTCTTGAATATGACATTTGATATGATTATGCTTCTCGAGTTCATTAACTCGATAAGATTTGGTCTGGTATAGAGCAGAGTTCTTTGCCTCCACATATTCCACCATACTTCACCTTGACCATCAATTGTGCCGTTTTCACCTACAATAAATGAGCACACTATTTAATTGGATCCCATCAAACATGAAACATTCACATACATGAAATGAGAACCCGAATGCTACCCATGAAACATTCCATACACATAAACGGAAGAATTCACATGAATTTCCACTGGAGACACTCAGTCAGGCAAAAGGTGTTACCAAAGATACAAACTATTTTACCCAACTTAGTGGCAACAGTGTGACAGATCTTCTAACAGCAGTCTTTAATTACGGAATATGTTCATGGGAAATGATAAAGTTTCTAAAAAGAGGACAAGACAAATATGGCAGAAACGAACCAGTGATTATCACATCACGGAGGCCATCCCCATGGATAAAGCTCATGTACCTTCCTCCAGGTCGTTCTCTGCCTCTCCCATATGAAGGCAAAGGAGCAACTAAAGGCCAATTCCTTGTATCCTGAAGCATTGTAGCACAAGGGTCATAAATATCACATGCAACTTCACAAGCGGAAGATATTGAGTACATATGATGAATGGTAGAAAACTGTTAAGCAAAGACCTCTTTCTTTACAAGATCAGGACCTCAAGTTTTACATATTCACAAGAATGATGCATTCTAGTTTTATAACCCGAGCAAAATACACGGAATCGTATTTAACTAAAATTATTACCAGAAGATTATATCTCTTTCCTCTGAGTAAGCAAGATATTACTAATGAGGACAGTCAAACTAAATTGCTGCAGAAGTAATTTGTATGTACCAGAGCTTGTTAAGGATTTGTTCAAAGGATCGTCAATTGCCAAAAGAAATTGAAAATAAACCCTAACCAAATTTTTGTTTGAATTGCAGAGCTTGTTCACATTAAAGTGGAAGGGCGTTCATTAAGATCAGATAGATTATGGAGTATAAAAAAACATCATATAGTCCTTAACCAATTATCAACAAAGCAGTAAGCTACTGTGCACTGGGACAAGAGAAAGAACAATACAATTAACTTTTTCTCATATCAGACAAACAATCTAGAGCATCATATTACTTGCAAGCTTTTGGAAATAAGATAAACTGTTTCTATTAAGGCGTACATTTCTATTTTTCTTTCCTTTATTTTGATGAAAACATTTTTATTTTTTCTAAAATCAATAACTCGTACAATTTTAGACTTTACTGATGCTTTCTTTACTGTCCTGTAGCTCATTATCGTACATGGTAACCAGAAAGCACAACTAAGTTTGGTTAAAATAATGAAAAACATCTGCCAACATTTAGCTTTCTTCTGGGGTTTTTCTTTAATTAACCTAAACTACACCGTATAAAGGACTTTAAATGCTGTAGACCAGAACGATATTTTTGTACTACCTGTTACATTAAGATGGCCAAAAAGTATAAAGTGTGAACAATGCACATGGAACCAAATACCGACATAAATACACTAAACCCCACAACTATTATAATAAGCATTAATTAACACCTTGAACTAATATAATCTAATACAATCAGAGATCCACCATATTATGCTTTTCCTAGCAATCAGAGCAAATTATATGGGCCCTTCCACAATTGCTCACATCATAGGAGGTTATATAGCACTCCATCTTACCAAGGAACAACATATAATAACGCTAAAAGGCTGAAAAATGGGACATGGTTCAAACTTAGTGTCACATCTTAATTATTCCATCATCCCTTGATCGGATAGAGGCTTGAAATTAAATCAAACTAATGATCGGACCATAGGCTTAAAATTAAATCAAACTATGTCTTATGCATCCAGATTTTAACTTATCATCGTATAGACTCCTAGAAAGCCCAACATCAGTCAAACTTCAACAAATTAATAAGAACAGGAATGTAAATCATTGCACAAAAAGTTAACCATCAAAGATAGCAACCTCAAATCCAAGGCAGGAATGAAGAATCACAGTTGCTTAATTACCGTGGTAGCCTTGATGACGGCACCCTGAGCCAAGTAAAGAGTCATATGGCTAGTGAGATTAAAGCTCTCAGTTAAGAAAACTCCGGGAGGAATGTAAAGAAGCGTTCCACCCCTTCTCTTCAAATGCTCGATCCGATAAATTGCTTCTCTAAAAGCCTTAGTATTCAATGTCACCCCATCCCCAACCCCTCCAAAATCCGTAATGGATATCTTATCATTCCGGTACCTCATCGGAACAATGCCGGAACAAGTAACCGGCTCAGCACCAGCAGATGCCCCCCTGCCATTCTTTAGCAGCAGAGCAGAAACAAAAAATGCTAAAATTAAAGCTGAAAGTGGACGCATCTTGGAAAACAGGATTGGAAAGAACCAACAGAAAATTATAAATTAATGACTAAAGGGGCTTGAAGTAGGTTCCAGTGGGAAGATTCAGGAGAGAATTTTTCAGGGTTGTATTAGTTGGAGATATGGAGGAAAAAACCCAACAGGAAAACTACAAAACTAACTTTACTGGATGAGAATTTCTACGGATATAATGAAAACATTCAAAGGGATGCGAAGAAATCCAAGCAAATCAGTCCAAGAATTGCTTCGGAAAATATCTGAACTTTATCATCACCTGCCAGGAAGTAAAAGCAAGATCCATTCGTTAGTACTCCAAACAGAAACCTCCAAATCACACAGTGGAACTGGAAACTGGTTAATAATATTAATAAACTAAAAAAGCTGAACAAAGGGATGCTGGAAAACATGCAAAACGCGATCTTGCTCTTGATACAGTAAAATGTATAATGAATTCGAGAGAAAACTTGCCCCTGAAGAAGATAATTTGATCCGGGAGCTTGCTGGAAGAAGGAAAGAAGGGTTTTTTTTTTTTTTTTTCTTTTTATTCTTTTTCTTGGTAATTGAAAGAAGAGCTTCTTGGAGTGCGATGAAGAATGTCTGCTAATTTGATGGTGTTAATTTAATAATGGGGAAGCAGCGACAAGAGTCAGCCAGCGAAGACGGGTATGGGACTCTGGTCACTTTTCATTAATAGTTTATGTCATCTCCTTTAGTCATTATCATCAAAGTTACACTCTTTTTTCTTTTTCATTCAAAGGTTTTTCTTATTGATTTATTAAGTAAAACTTGTGCTTCTAATTTCTAATCTTCCCATTTGAAGTAATGTAGTCCCTGATTGTCCAGTTAAGAATTTTTTTTGTACTGAAGATGAAAATATAAATTGGAAAATTATTTCGAGACAAAAGGAATAATTAAAAAGAAAATATAATTTTGAGAATTTAGTTTAGTATATGTTTATTTAATAAAAAACATTATTAGGCTATTTGTTTGATAGTTATAAATTTAAAAACAAAAATTGATAAAAATTTACAACTAAGCATTGGATATGAACGTGTTCGTTTTGTCAAGTTTTGGACACCAAAAGAAAGATAAGTAATGTTGGGGTGGTGTGTAATAAATAAGCAACGGATACTTGCGCTTTATGATCTGGTGAGTCCAATTCATTGGTCCCTCATGACCATTACACTTTTTACACTACTGATTAATTGTACAATCATCTTTACTTTCATCCCTCTATCAATTCTCAATCAAGGTATCATTGAGTTGCTCTGCTGCAGTATTTTGAGGTATGATTGCACAAAATTGGAAGCTTTGCGTGTATATTTCATTGATTCGAATCAATTAATTCGCGGCCAACGGCATTTTAATCTACGGAAAACTGTATTCAATATGTTTTGTTTGTGAAATGTTAGTATTTTTTCTTTTATTTGCAAATCTTGTTGATATTTTGTGAATTATCAACCTTTTTTTTTTGAAATAACAAACTTTCATTAACGATTACTGGAAACGGTCCAGTACCGATTTAGGAACAAAGGTTGGAGCTATAATCCATAAAGATTCTAATACAGTTGCCGATTTGGCCTATCAGTAATGATAAGGAGAGTGAAAAAAATTAGTAAAAACTCATAATGACTGATATCTTTTTTGGAAGAATAAAATTTTTAGACGGAAAAGTACCAACAAAATAGGGGGTTAATATATGCAACATCAGTCACAATTATTTTTTTCCAATTGTTTTCGCTAAACATATCATTTTCCTTAGCCTATTTAGCAAATGAGAATTGGAACTATTTATAAATTTTCATAGTACTCAAAGCGTGGAAGCAATTGTTCATCTTTAATAATTTGATCAAGGGAAACTGTCCCATAGCAAATGTTGGAAGGATAACGTCACGTATCAGAATATGAAAATACAATCAGAATTGTTGTTCATGTTTTAGACACGTACGTATCAGCTGGATCATCTATAGTTGGAAATATTTTCTTGTCGAAATTTCTTTTTCAATCAGCCATAAGTTTTTATTTATGTAGATTCAATGGAATAATACTTACGAAACATATTACCTCCACTACTAGTGATTAGTTACAAAAAAATTTTAGACCCGTTATTTAAAGACAAATTCTTAATACAGTAATATCTTTTTTATTGTTAGTTGTAAAATTTCACTTCATATAATGAAACATTGTTGGTCAAATCTGCAAAATTTATTATCAACTTCCGAATCGCTTTCGTTCGTTCGTTCAATACGAATGGTTACAATAACTTCTCAATTTTGCATGACAAGGTTCTTGATTCAAAGTTTAAACCGAACTGAACAGGTCCCCTTATCGGATGAGATCAGTTCGAATTCAATTAACGTTAAAAAAATTAATGGTCTGATCCGGGTCAAGTAGTTAAGAGAACCTTTTATGGATCTGGCCCTAAATAATAAAATAAAAAAAAGGTTGTGATGGAGTATTTGATGATTGATGATGATGAAGATGCTGATAGTAATAGAAAAATTTGTCTTAATCGATATCAGTATATACTACCAATATAATTATTATATTGGGTCTCACTTTGGTTTCTTTTGTAAAGCTAAAATTATAATATTAGTCTTGGGATGGAATTAACATTTTCTTTTCCATGTTTTGTTGGTGAGCTTGGACTTGTCACTATGTCATGGGGGGATGTGTTTGCTGCTTTTTGAACTGAGGAATTCTACATAAACAAAATATTATGAAGAGGTTTTATTGATATTATTCTCTGACAACGCCGTTGGGAAAAGCCTTTTCCTTTGGAAGGAACAGTTCATTTTAGCTAGATAGCATGTTAAACCAACCTAGAGATAAAATAAGGATAATGAAAGTTAATTCGGTTGCTAACTTGACCGGTTTGTTTACTCACTATTATTACTTCTTGTTATTAAAAAAGACATAGATAAGAATCGAACTTTCAATTTCACGATTGTGTCAATAATCGTTTGAGTACTTTTTGTATATTATAACGTTCTCAATATGTCAATATGTCAAAGAAGGGAAAAGAAAGAAGTAAGGCTATGAATAAACCTTTTTTTAATGTGGATTTGTTATTTTTGCATTAAAATGTTTAAAGAAAGGTTGCATTGATAATATAATTTGTGTGTTGGAACTTGGAAATCAATGGAAAAAAAGAAAAAGAAAAAGGTTGGGGAGGGAATTGAATAAAAACACGTAGGAGTTGGGCATGTGGACGCCATTAATGGGGCAAATTGCAAGGCCTAGAGTTGTTTTCCGGCACGCTCAAAATTTGGGCTTTAATGGCCCATCCTCTATTATGTAGTCTGTGTCCGGCTATCTTCTTTAGGTTGGTTCTAAGTAGGCATGATGATTACAAGAAGTCTTCATCAAAATGTTAATGCGCATTTAATTGTCAGGTTTACGTAGGAACAAAAACCATTTTTAAGCACAAAACATTTAAAAAAAAAATTACCCCTTCGTCCAAAAATTATTGTTCACGAATGAATTTTTTTTTTCTTTGGTAACGCCAAAACCCCACCAGAGATGGATAAACCACGCCCACTGCAACTGTTTGATTTACCTAAGTCAAGTAGGGGTTCTCTCCCGAGTGGGTTTGCCAAAACCGCCGTCTAGAGATGCCAATGGACAAGGTTAGAATCATTTCTTCACCCTTGTTAGAGTGGGAGTTTGAACTCATGACCTCATCTTGAGAGTAAGGGTGATTTTACCGCCGAACCAACAACTCATTCGTAGCTAATGATTTCTTATTCTGAAATTTAGTTATAATAATGAGATAGTGGAAGTTACTATAACAAGCAGCTCTCGATTTGGAAAGCCACAAATTCATATAGTTTTCGGCACATATTCTACTGCTCCAAACAAGTGGTGGTCCAATGAAAGAAAACCTCATCCAATAATGGATTGATTTATCAATCTCATGATTCTCATCAAAGGCAGTAGAAAAGAATCTGAAACTTTGACATCAACAAAACTTTTATTTTTTTTTCTTCAAACTTCTTTTGAGGAAGAAGAAGAAGAAGGAGAAAATGACCCATCCAGCCAGCAACCTGAGGTTTAAATGCAAATATAATACATGAATGGACTGATAAGGTACTGCTCATATTGAGCAAAAGGTGGGGATGAACTTCCCATTGATCACTCAATAAAAAACAACTTGCCATGGCCAGCTCATTCAGATTGCTGCTTATTGCTCCCACCATCTTATGATTCTCAAAAAAGAAAGAAGAAAAAGAAAGAAAACCCTTCTCTTTTTTTCTTCCCAAAAGAAGAAAAAGAAAATCAAGAATCACCACAATTTTTTGTCCCTAGTTCCTCATCGTTATCAATGTACCTGTTCCAATTTGCTTCTTCAAATTTTTTTTTTTTTTTTAATTTTGGTTTGGTGTGTCCTTTTTAACATGGCTCAAAGCTATAATACATAAAGATAAAGGAAATAGGTAGGTAATGGGAACATGCAGAATAAAGCCAAACTCTATAAAGAACAGGCTACCAATCAATCACAGAAAGTTCAATGAACTCATATGTCTGAATCCCGTTATTCTCCACAAGAATCTGCGCATGCATCCTCCACTATCCCCATTTTTGTTTAAGATATATGCTTTCATGTCTCCACAGTCCATTAGCCACTCTACAATGCAAATTGCTAAAGCGACTCCAGATGAGTTCTCAAAAGTGTCGTTTTCTTAACTATATGCAAGTACAATATGACTACTGGGACAGCAACAATAAAACTGACGGAAATAGGATCTTATGCCATGCATAGCTTGCCATTGCTTACCGCAGAAACTATACTCCCTTGCCCTTATAGTAATAATCCACTTCGTTGAACAACCGAACTATTAATATGAGAGCCAGGGAGTAATGTACGCTATGTCTTCATTTATAAGAAACTGCTTTAGTATATGAATGGAATGACAGTAGAGCCAACCTGGACTTGCGCAAGGGTGCAAAATGCTTCTATAATATATCATAAACTTTATCTATATATAACTAAAATGTAAGAACAAAAGTCTTGAACATGGCTCACATTACAAACTCAATAATTGAGCATTATTTTTCTTGAGAGAAAGCAAGACACAAGCTACAAAGAAAAGATATCCTGCTCATGGATACGATTCTATTATGGGATATAACCTATCTAACAACATCAACAGCTTCACATCATATGACAAACAGAAAGATACTTGCAGAGCATACTCCTGCTAACAACAATTCCACAGCAGCGACATGGTACTCATATATATACACACAAATCAAGACCCGTAATGAAGCAAAGGAATTACGTTCTTACAGAAGTGAAAGGAAGCAAGCAGCGAGGCAGTAGGAATATGGCAATGGGCATATCATTCAGATGTTGAGGACTGGCAGAGAACTGATCTCTCTTCTAGGCATCCTAACCAGAAACCATATATTTCGATGACAATGCTCGAATGGTACAGAAAACATAGGAGTGTCCACTTTGAATCTCAATTTCTATCAAGTGGCTCGGCTCTATCCTGCAGAGCTAAGTGCTCCGAGACATCAGAGAGTGACTTAAGGTTACACTTGATTAAGGCCTCAATGAAATAGCAGGTTTCATCATTTGTATTCCCTTCTGGCACATCAACCACAAATGATTCAATGACCAATGTCCCCGGCCTACCATCAATGACCTCAGGATGGACAGTGACGGTGGATAGGTAATTCTGCACATTGTTTTTTTGGTAAAAAGAAAGCCCAAATTAGTTTTAAAGGAGGACCAAACTAGAATTGCACTTAAATCATGTTATAGAAACAACAGCAAATGGATTTGGTACTACACATTTCTGAAGCATCTCACTGTCTTCTTACTGTTGACGATTACATTTTATGGCCATTGAACCACCACAAATAAATAAATAAAGAAATAAAGAAAAAAGAAATCAATTAATTGAAAACAAAAGGCAGTACATACGCATATCAAATGCAATTAGTCCTAATAAGGAAGGTAAAAGGATCTACGACTTTCATCTTCAATCCAGATGATATGCCCGAACAATTGCCAAAAAGGATGTGGAGAAAGATAAAATGTGTTATGAAGGACAAGTTATGCTCAGACTTTTCTCTTCATGAACGCTCCCTTTCAATTACTTTATATTTGAAACTTCCATTCAACATTTCTCCATAAAATTAAATACATAATTTACTCTTGTATCAGCTACAAGCAACAGATGGTCACATTTACATGAAAAAGTTCAACAATGTACATGATGTAACATCTGAATGCTAAAATAACCAATTACGAGAGGAAAAACATCTTATTATATCTACATCAAATCCTTAAGATAACATCTACTGTGCAAGATATTCAATGGTTGGTTGTGATATGACAACAATTTGGAAATTGCACACAGAAGTAAACCACCAGAAGTATTGTACCTTTAGTCTGTGATCTCCACCAACAATCCTCATGCTAAAGATATGTTCCTCATCATCCAGAAATTCCAATCTTTCCCTGCTAGTGGTGGCTGGTAGTCCCGACTTGACGTTAACTTCTCTGACACTTCCGATCTCGAGATCACCCTGAACAACACACCGGCTCACGAAGGGCTTGTATCTTTGAGGTTGATCAAATCTCCTTACCAAAGACCATACCTGAAATGCCCAAAACAACTCATTCAGCCACTCTGGTCACAAAAACCAGTGTAAACTACAACAACATGAACTAGCTGAGCCTGTATTCCACTCTATAGAATCGTCTACAGAGTGGGGTCAGCTACAATTAGTATTGATCACTCTAGCTAAAGCTTACGCTACAACCACTTCACATGTCTAATAATAAGAATATCCAAACATAATCTTTACAGATGCAAACGGAAACAATAAACCCCAAATTGGCATCCATCAAATAGCTCTTTCTTTTTAATCTAGTTCTCCTTTTTTATAGCAAGGATATCAATAACTAATCTTCAAACACACTCATAAACCCCAAATTGACATCATTACGAACCTCTTTAATCTTACAAATATACTTTTTTACCCGTAGTTGATCTTTATACACACAGGACCCTTATTGGGATTCAGCACAACATCTCTTTACCTTCCCTAAATTAAGCGTAGTTACCTTAAAAGAAACAAAACCCAAATCGGCATTGCTAGTAGAACTAACAATATACACAATCATGTGACTTCATTAGAAACAAAGCCTCTCAGATGCCAAGAGGAGGAAAAACAAAATATTTCCAATAAAACCAATCAGATAATTCGTGGACAAAGGCCCAAACACAGATCCAATAACAATTAATTTGTGTCCTTTCCCCGAAAAGAAAAAAAAAAAAGTTAAAAACAAACAGCTGAAACTCACAAGATGAACCGGAGCTTTGATGTGTTTGATGAGGGATGAAGAACACTGATTCTCCTTGACTTCATGCTTGTGGTACCTCCTGATAAACTCATCTTCCATTCCACTTCTCTTCTCATCATCCCATAACCCATTCATTATGCTCACCATATAATTGAATAATTTAGTATGAAAGCAGTAAATTCTCTATGTAACCAATGAAATCAAGATGTTTTGTGCGAAGGTTAAGAAATTCAAGAACGAACCCCAACTGGGAGACACCGTGAAATTGAGTTTGTGGGTGTGAGTGTGATGAGTAGTAGGAGTGGAGATGAAGTCAGAAATGGTAAGGGGCCAAAATGCACCGCCATTGAAGGGTTGAATTTCTTGGCTGCCCCTATTGGCTTAAATAAATAATTAGAAATTACTATAAAATTAATTGGGAGTGTCCTAAAAATAGTACTCCTACTAGTAGTTGTTGGGACTTGGGACCTTTTAGGACTCTCTCCTTCCCTCATTGGTCATATCCACATCTCAAGGACATTTTTTTTTTATTTTTTAAATAAATAAACTATGGAGTGTGTGGTTAAGCATAAAGGTTATCATTTCTTAACCAAGGTTAGATCAAACCATAGGTTGTGGTTAAGTGTAAGGGTTACTAGTATTTCTTATCTAAACGGTAAGGTCGGATATTCAAAAAAAAAAAGAAGAAAAAAGGGAATATTTAATTTCAGAGATTAACAAGAAAATAATCAAATGGTTAAGTAGTTTGTTGTAGCAATAAGGTGAGGGCCAAATACATGTAGCGCTCTTATAAATTTTACCAAAGTTAATCTACAGTTTCTCGTTAGTCAACAATCATTCTTATACGAATAGTACTTTTATAAATAGATTAAATTATTGATTGAACCATCTGTTCTGCGGACCACAATTATTTGAATAGTTAGCATAAAAAATAGACCAAAATAATGTGGAAAATGTAGGAAAGTCAAATAATTATGGAGATTATGAGGTAGATGCTTTCCATTTCCATGCCTCATTATCCCAAAAAAGCGAGCGAAAGGATCACATGCTCAAAAAACACTTAAAAATAACTGCATCAAATTTACACGCCAATTAAGGCAAGTATGGGATGCCACTCCTTTCCACTCTTATCGCCTATCGGGGGAGGAGTTGAATTAAAGGCAGTGATATTTTGATAACAGTAGTGATCGCACGAAAAGCAAAATATTCCACACGAATCATAATACTAGTTCATAGGTAGACTAATTAGATTATATACAACATTTTTAGGCTTAGATTGATAGATTCTATTCGTCTACTTCAAAGTCTTTTCGTCTTTGACAGACCAACAATTTGCTAGTTTTGTTGAACCAATTAGTGATATCGACTACTACTACTACTAAAATGGGCACTGATTCTATACGGGTATCATTGCATCGTAAGTTGTATGACATGACTTCAAGACTTGAAGTCTTCAACTCTCATGGCAATTTGAGAAAAGACCCAGCAATTTGCGATGCGATCTAAAATAATGAGAGTCAGTGTCTTTTATTAAATACGTAAAAGATAATACGAGAATAAAAGAAATATAATTTCGGATGTTAATCTTATACTATAATATAGTCACTACTCATTTACAACAATAGTATATTGTCATGCTTCAATTTTCTTTTCCTTAGTTTCAATCATTTCACTGGAAAATGTTGTCTCTACAGCTCTACTATTTGAATATCCTAGATGTTTACATGATAATGAAATAATTGAGTCATGACTTGATGCTACATGTAATAGTGTCAAAACAACACAATGCCATTTGTAAAAGTAAAATAGGAATTATAATAATAAGAAATGCATATCTAAGATAACAAAAAAGTATACGTGTAATTTATGTTTCTTCATTAAATTAATCATTTTTAAATGTAATTTTTAAGTTCCAAAATAAAATTTTGTTATTAGAAAACACATAAATATATACCCCTTTAAGGCAGTACGCATTGCAATTTGGGCCGAGCTGACACCAGACTTAGCCCATTTCCAAAAAAAAAGCTAGCAGTCCACTCGCTCTTTGTTTCCCGCCAAAAGCCCGCTCTCGCCATCGTCCCCCTCACAGCAACCCCCAAATCTCCCGCCATTTCTCGGTCCTCACTAAACTCTTCAAGCTTCTTCACTCTCCTTCTCCGTTGCCCTGCCAAATTGTAAGTAACGAATTTCTCATTTTATGTTTTCCTCCTTAATTTTCTTGCAAATTTGTGATCCGAATTGGTTTTTTCAGAGGAAAATGGTAATTTAATTTGTAATAAAGACCATATTTTTCTCTTTAATTTTTCTTGGTTTTAGGGTTTCGAAATTTGAAGATGGCCGGGGTGGAAGTTGAGAATGGAAGAGATGACATGGTTATCGATGGATGTGAGAACGGACAACAACCAAAACCGATGCAGAATATTGTGGCCTTTGATGGGGTCAACGTGAACTATCTCAAACTTTATTACGGTAAAATTTTTCTCTACCTGACGAATACATTTTTGTGTAGAAAGCTTGAAATTCTTTCAGAATTTGTTACTCAGTACATTTGTAAAAGAGAAATGATATAGTTAGAATTACTGGTTCTGATAAAGTAGTGGCAATCTGGTTTCATTTAGGGTCAAGGGTTGGGAATTCTTGTGTGAGGGAGGCGGTTAATGTTGTTCCGAGAAAAAACGGTTTCATGAATTCCATCCAATTCATGTGTTCTGTCGATGGTCTTCGCGAATTAGACAGGTCGTGACCTTTGTCCATTATTACAAAGGTCAAAGGCGTTGTATGTTCGGGTTAGATTTGGGTCCCAATTTACTCCTATTTCTGAATGCTTCTGAATGCTGCTGCAATATTGAAGACACATTATCTACTTGAATTCAGCGTCATTATTTTTCACCTCTCTTCACATGTTTCTCTTGATACTTCTCTGATTGCTTGTGTCTTTTATGAAATTGGCAGGAAAGTTCTTCCCACATGCTGATATGTTTAAATGGATGTCATATGGGAACGGTATCTTTCTTATCTTAATCCTGCTATTTCCTTTGGGTGTAAAACAAAGAAATTCTTACATCATTCTTCTTGGAATCCTGTTTTGCTAAACTAATTCAGATGGGAAGCATCCTGGATGTGACCACTCATACTTTGGCCGCCGAGAATTCTCTTTCACTTTGGATAATGACATATATTTGCGGTTTCAGTCTTTTAGTGGTTTGTCTGAGTTCGAGAATGCTATTAGAGAAAAATGTCCTTTTAAAATCGACATCGGTCCTGTTTATAACGTGGATGTAAGATTTCTTCACTTCTTTAGCCCCTCTAGTATAAATGTTCAGTCGTAAACAGATGAAGACTATAAATATTCAGTTGTAAATGTTTGTCCAAACTTATAAATTTATGATTTTTGTTACCAGTGCAAACACATGAAGACTAAATGGATAACACTTTCATATCATGTGAACTTAAGCATCTCACAGATGACTATTTTTTACTGTCTTTATGCCTCAGCGGGTTATTTCCGTTTCATAATGTCTTGATTTCATTGCTTCTGCAGCCAGCAAAGAGGCATGCATATGCACAATCGGGAGATAATGTTTTTACACCAGCTGAGAGGGAGCTGGTTTTTGACATAGTGAGTTGTTCAGAATTTAAAGTTGATTGCGGAGCTTCAAAGTTGAATGTTATTTGACTTTTTCCTGTACAGGACATTTCAGATTATGATGATGTCAGATATTGCTGCTCCGGGGCAGATGTATGCTTAGAGTGCTGGCCATTAATGACGGTAGCTATTAAAGTGATTGACTCTGCCCTCAGAGGTATTGGAACAGACATCTGCTCTATATTGATTTAGCTATTTTCTTCCGATTTACTATGCAGCAAGCTAAAATGAGAGTGACCTGAATTAGTTTTCATTTATGTATTTTTCCTTCGTATTTTTGCCCATTCCATGGCCTGTCTCTCTTCTGTCTCTCTTTTGCTGCTGTTAATTTTTAACCATTAGTTAACCTTCCGAGAAATACTTCATAGAAAATTATAACAGCGGCGGATAATAGATCTTCTTGTGCTTAGTTCGGGATTTGTTTGTATTCATATCAGCAGGAAATGCAGTGGACAAATTCAAGACGTGAATATAATTTATTTCTTTTTGGTTTTGTCGCACAGATGACTTTGGATTTAATCACATTCTCTGGGTATATAGTGGTCGACGTGGTGTGCATTGCTGGGTTTGTGATGGTAAAGCGCGAAGGTAATTGTTATATCTGCTGAAGTATCTATAAGATGATCAATTTGCCATTCAGACGTGAAGATCTAACTTCATTGCTGTTAAACCAGGTTGAACAATGAACAGAGGTCAGCAATTGCAGATTACTTTCGTGTCTATAAGGTGATATTTATCTTACCTTGTCTCATGATACCGGAATCTGTGTCAACTCTCTTCGCAAAATTATATATACCGTTACAGCTCATGTCTAACAAACACTTTGTCTGATTTTCATTCAGGGAAATGAGAATAGCCATAAAAAAGTCTCTCTAACGGGTCAAGCACTGCATCCCTTTCTTGTGTAAGTGCATTGTTTTTATGATTCATTATCCTTGTTATATGTGTTGATATACGTTTTCTCACGATGAGAAATCTGGTTTTATCTGTTCTTATGCGGGCTATGCAGGAGAGCTTATAATGACGTACTGAAAACTGCTTTTGAAGAGAAACTCCTACTTAGTCAGAATTTATTATCACATGAGGAAAGATATGAGACGATTCTCAGAATGATTCCGGATGAATGTATGTGCAATTGATTGTGTAAATATATTCTTTTTACTCCTGGCAACTTCCTCTAAACTGGGGATGACTTTTTGTAGCTCTTACTTCTGAACTTCGGGCAAAGTGGGGAGATAATCGGCGCTCAAAAGATATCAATACCGTTCGGTGGCAGCAATTGAAGCAACTACTGCAATCTGGGAGACAAAAGGTGAAGAATCTTCAAGAAAAGTTCTCATTTAAGATCCTGATTCACATTGCTGCAGCTTATATGCAACTCAGCTTTTACTGATGTCTCGTTTTTACACAGTTTCAAGGGCTTCGTAGGTGCGTTGAAGAGATTGTATTCTCATTTACATATCCTAGGATTGATATGGAGGTTGGTGATGGTGCATAGCCTTTTTGCTTGTTCATTTTTCAGATATTTAAGGCTAATCGCCATTTTCATTTTCTAATCATAAGTCATAAACCATGCATTTCTCTGATTAGTTTTGGGTATCTCTCACTAAAACAAGCTACACATTTGTGGATCAGGTATCGAGACACATGAACCATTTGCTAAAAGCTCCCTTCTGTATACATCCAAAAACAGGTTTGCTTGTCGCAAAATGCATAAGTCCAAAATCATATAAAATCACTAGCCATTTGGTTTGATTTCATTACAATAAATAGTGTACTTTTCTTGATTTGGTGCTCTAAATGTTTATCCATCTATAATAGTTCATACAAAGAAACGCTATCTGAATTCTCTCTTTTCTCTTTTTGGCAGGTCGTGTTTGTGTTCCTATTGATCCAAAAAACTGTGAGGAGTTTGATCCTCTTGCTGTACCAACCCTTTCGAAGGTAAGCCTTAAAAATGTGATTGTAAGTTTTACTTGGTACTTAATACTGTAAATAAATGTTAGTTGATGGAGTCTGTTATCAGGGACAGCAGAAAAAGATTAAATAACTTGATGGGTAATCAATTGGTTAGTTTAACACGGTCTTTCGTTTTTTGTTTGCATAACTCGATGGCGTTCCAGAACTGTACCCCCTCTCTATATGCTGTCTTGAAAGTGTACATGATGTTATATTTTGTCCATTGAATAGGCATAGCAGGTTCTTGAGAAATAATGCTCCATATTTTAGTATCTGGTGTCATTTATTGATGATGATGGTTTAATGTTTCTGCTGAATGAATAATACTGGCAGCCATGGCTACGAATCTATAATCCTCATACGTGGAGTGTATAGCTTTTACTTATTTAAACCTTTTTCTTTATTGCAGCTTTTGGAAGAACTTAATGTGGAAAGTCCACAAAGCAGAGGGCACAATGGTATGTTCACCATCTGGTGTAGTCACTAATGGTATTTAAGCATACGTTTCAAAGGAAACTTGACCGGTGATTCTTGATTTTGGAATTTCACCGCGATAGTATTCACGTCATGTAACTTTACCTTCTCATACAGCCTAGAACATCTTTAATTTTAATTAGTACAACTAGTCTTTTTAGCAGAAAGATGACCTGGTGATTGTTTCTCCTCTTTTTTTTTTTTTTTTTTCCTTACCTTTGTTTCTTTTTTCCTTTCCTCATGGTTTGGCTTGATCACAGATTGGGATCGAACATCATTGGGAGATTCTGTCAGATTTTTTCAGTCATCATTTCTGCAGCCCCTCCTGAAATCGTGCAAGGTATTTTAGAATCATCGCCGTATCTGCATTCCCTGGATATCCTTTGTAAGCTTTTGTTGTGTTTCTAAATAGTGATACTTCCTATATAATTAATTCTGACGCCTTTTCGTGATTGTGCAGGAGGAGATAGAAAGTTCATATGGTGCTAAACTTCAAGAATCAAAGAACTCAATGAGTTGGTAGTTAGCTGTGTCCATCAAACATCTTGTAGCATATTCGACTCCTGTATTTCTTTCACCTTTTTATCCATCTTTGAGCTAGGATTGGCTGTCATTATTAGTTGTTATGTGTAATATCACTTGTCACGCTTGTCATTAGCCTAAAATAGCCCAGATCATATGCTTTTGTCCATTATGTCCTGACATAAGCTTATCAAGTATGTGTATCCCTCCTAATCACGAATGTATGGTTTTTTCCATCCACCTCTTTTGCGTTAAAGAGAGAAACAACTGTTCATCCTATCTTCTAGTGACTCATCCTGTCATCCATGTTTTTTTTCCTTTCTTCATACATGGAGATTTTATGCTATAAGCCTTGACAACAAGAGCTGGGAGAGGTCGATGTGTATGTGAAAAGGAAAAAGAGTGGTGTCGCGAGTCAAATAGGGCCGACAGAATCACAGAAATAGCATAGTTGGTTTGAGTTATGTGATCTGTTTTTACCCAGTCTTTTCCGCTAATGTAAAGAGGTTTGCACAGTTTTCTGCTATATAACTTCATTCGTTTTTGTAACTGATTTTTAAGTATATGATGACGAAGCGATAAGAATTAGGGAAGGACAAGAAATGACCATCTTATCTTTCAGACTTCAAGAAATAATAGTGCAAATTATTGGAGAGTTTGGCAGTCCATATAAATTACCATTTCCGTAGCAGACATACCCAAAACATTCATTCAAAAAATCTTCAGAGCTTGCTAATAATAATAATCTTGACAAGTAAAAACCATAACTTAATAGCTATTTATCAGAATATCGACCCCTCTCTCTAAGTAACACCGCTTATAGTACATAAGAAAAACTATAAGATTGTTCAGCAAAACAAAAAAAAAAAAAAAGATTGCTAACTTTACCAAATACAACTCCATACTTATTACTACTTAATAATAGAATTCTAAGAACACACAGATTGGACATCTAATAAGATTCTAGGATTCTAATTTGCAAGGACTTCCCAAATCAACTCCGGATCAAATGATGGAAACCGCGCAAGCGAGCAATCTCCGGCGAACTGATGATCAGAACCAACATAGGAACAAATCTCACCCTTCCAGAATCCATCTTCAGAAACAACACTAGGAGTTGCTGGCGACACCATTTCGCTGCTCCAACTTGTATCATTACCCGTAACCACCTGCTGAGACGACGAAGAAGACGAGGCCGAACCGCCAACTTGATTCAAAACTTTGCCCTCTTCTTTGACATCAGAAGAAGAAGAAGAAGAAGAAGAACCATCATTAGTACGGTTGATTTCCCCTTTTTTCTTGGCCCTTTTATTGGCTTTCTCTCTTTTAACCTTTTGACAAATGGCTTGAATCTTAGCATCCACAGCAATTTTCAGGGCATTCAATTTCGAAACATCTGCAAAACAACCCAGCTTGCTAGGATCCTTAACATCAGGGAAATTCAACTTTGCATATTCCCCACGAAGCTTATAAGCTGCTCTGTCATAAGCATAAGCAGCAGCCTCTGCTGTATCATAAGTTCCAAGCCAAACTCTCATCCTGTTTTGTGGCAGTCTTATCTCAGCTACCCATTTCCCCCAATGCCTCTGCCTCACCCCTCTGTACAGCTTCTTCTTGCATGGATGCATGAAATTCTGAGAATACAGAGAATTGGTTAGGCGAGTTCTTAGGATAGAAGAAGAAGATGCTGATGAGTTCCCTGTGTTCTGTTCATGGAATCTCTGGAGCAAATCTCTCTGTCTGAAGTAGACTGATGAGCCTAATGGGTGTTCAAGAAGAACAGATTCTGACATGGGATTTTGTTGTTGTTGTTGTTGTTGGCAATAAGTGAAGATGGAATCCATGGTGTTGGAACCCCCTGTTAAGATGAGTTGTGATAGAGAAGAACCAATGCTAGCCATTGGGATGTTGTTTTCATTGATGATTCCTGCCATTGATTGAAACTTGAAAAATCTTGCTTTCCACAAGGAAAAAAACAACAGGAACAGAAAAGGCCTAAAAAGGGTACTCCAAAAACTGCCCCTTTTTTCCCCACCTCAAATTGAAGAAGCAAGTTTCAAACTTTCTTCCAAAAACAGAGCACCCAAGAAAAAAAAAAAGAAGATCTTTATGCAAATTGTAAAGATGATCAGATAGTAGAACTTGGGTTCAAAAGCTTGATGAAAGAAAGAAAAGGTTAGTAAAAATAGTGATGCCTTCTATTATTGTGTAAAATGATTGAATAACAAGGAGAATGAAGAAAACTGTTAAAAGAACAGAGGAACAATATTTCTAATCTATTGATGAAATGAGAGATTGATTGTTGCAGAGTTAGGTTTCTGGGGTCTTCATTTGCTGTATTTATAGCTGGGGAAGATGGATTTTTTTTTTTTTCCCTTCTTCTTCTTTCTTCCTTTCCCTCACTTATTCTTGCACAAAAAAGTTCATTCACATTTATGATTCAACTTCAACTCTCATCTACTCATAAAAAAGGGACAATGCCACCTGTTTAAGAAAAATAGTACTAGTAAAACATTGCAATCCTCCAAAAAGGTGGGATTTTTTTGGGATGAAGAAAGAATTAAACAATTAAATTTCATCTTACCCCACTGTTAAAAAAGTCGATAAGATTATGAAATACATCAGAGTGAATTTTAAAATTCAAGTATCAACATCCAACTTCTTGCCAAAAAGAGTAATACCGACAACATTTCATAATCTCTTCCAGGACAGTGCTTTCCTTTCATAAATTTCAATTATCTACAGGGAATTCTAATTTTCTTTCCCCTCTAGTAAATATGGCTATAGTACTTGTGCCACACCATTTTTTTAATATAAAAAGTAGTTAATGAAAATTATTCAAATAGTGATGACTAATTTATGAATTAATTAATTAAAAAATTTCTAGTTGAATTCATTAAGAAAAAAAATCAACATCTATCTATCCTCTCCAAGGTTCTGAGATTGATTACAATTCCCTCCCCCCCCTTCTTATTATGCTTTCAAAATCTTTTCAGCACGGGTTCAGATTAACGATATTTGCTATATCACGAAAGAGTAACAATAAAGAGAGATTTTATGGTAGTTAGCAAGTTAACATAATTCTTTAACCATTTTCTGCAATATCCTTTATTGGTAAAGAGGAAGAAAAAGGAAGAAATAATGTACGTCAACATTTTGCCCATAATACAGAAACTGAAAATTGGAAAAAGATAAAGAAGGGGTTAAAACTTAAAAAGAGTTACTACCACTAATAAGGTACGATTATTGTGGATGTGGAGTTAACCCGTGTGGACCAAAAGTGGTCCGTACGAAGTGGACCATGAATCTACTTTATGAATTTAATACTCATGTGTGGAGTCAGCTTGGCTCTGGTTTTTTTTGCCAGTTTTATCATTATTATTTTTTTGTTAAAAAAAGTCCACAATGTAGGCATTAATTATTTTTAGGTGCCACGCGTCTCCTTCTTGTTGTGATTTTTAGCCTTTTAAGTTTTCCCCGTTTCTAAATTATGGCAGGAGAAATTTGCTCCTACTTCTCTTGCGTTCACTCAAAAAATAAATAAATAAATAAATAAAAAGAAGAAACGGAAAAAGAAAAATATTATTGTATTGAATTGTTCAATTATGGATCTCCCGTTCTTTGCCATTTTTTTTTCTTCTAAAATTGATGATGACACTTAGAGATTTTGATGAACAAAACGGCCATGTTGTGATGAATTTTATATTTTATTAAAGGGCTCGGCATCCAACTCGGAGGTCTGGGTTTGAAATTCCACGGCAGCGAAAATATTATCTTTTTTTGCAGGTTGTAGATTGAAGCTCTTCAAGCACCCTATGAACGCGTGGAAAGAAGCGTTGCAGGCATGAAGTCGTCCCCCGCTAGATTAGACTAGTAGTAGATCCCCCTCCCTCAGACTCACATATCTAATAACCTAAGTGTTTGTAAGAATTATATATAAAAAAAAAATATCGTTCAATTTTATGTGAGAGATACTTGAAAAGATTTTCCTCATGAACTCATATTCCTACAAATATAACTATTGCAGATATAAATTCTGATATTTGCTCTGTCCCAAATTTATTGTCCAGTTTAGATTTTTATTTTTAGTTGAATTTGTACAAAAAATGAAAACTCAAATTACACAATAATTTCGGGATAGAAGAAGTAAAAAATAAGTCTTTAATATGATTTTTAACTCTAGTTTTGGCGCTTAAGTTGTCTCTCAATCTTTTATGTCGATTTCTCCCACTCCATAATTCACGTAGAAGACAGACAATCAAACTTGTGTCTGTGATAATTAGTGGAACAGTAATTTTCCAATCATTTTGTCATACTGTTAAAGTGTTAATGTAGTGGAACAGTAATTTTCCAATTCGATGACGGAATTATAGTGGTATAAAGCTGGAAAACTCACTACAAATTGTTCAGTAGTCAACCACTCGATCCGTGCATGGGAAAATTGACAATATTTGTTATTATTATTTTCACCGAAAACAGCTTTGCGTGTAGAATTATGTTAAACCTAGCTTCATATATCGCTATGGATTTTAAGCACTATACGGAAATGTGCAGGCGAAAATCATGGAAAATTCCCCTAGAATCTTTGAAAACATAACATATTTTTCAATGTCAAGTCTTGTCAATTAGGACGAATGGCATTTTAAATTTTATTTTGTAGTCTTATTTTTTCTTTTTAACAAACTAGATAGTCATTTTTCAGACAAAATAGAATATTATTAATCATGAAAATGATCCTACAGTTGTTTGGCAATTAATAATACCTCTCTCTGTTTCTTAAATATTATATTACATCTACGATATATAATTGTATATTTGAATCGTAAAATTTTTATATTTTTTAGTTAAACATAAGACACTTAAGTATGTGTTTAGGTATATTTGAATCGTAAAATTTAAATCGTGTTTTTAGTGTGTGGCTTTAGGTAATTTTTTGTTTTAGAAATATAAAAAAAAATGTATAAGAAATGTAAAAAAGTATACTGGAATTGGATATTTATAATAAATTAATCTGAAAAACTAAACAAAAAGGAAACAAACAGAGTGGAGGGTATATTTTTTTACTTTCTACTAATAAATAAATAAAAAATTACATAAGACGGTACATAAGACTTACCAAGAAAATTATGGTTGAATAATGATATGTGAATCATTTTTTAAATAGATATGGTTTTAGAAAACAATAATTTAGAAGTTAAAATTTCAAGCAATCATTGAATAGAAGGTGTATTTCTTAATTATATAACTTTGTGAGAGACCAAAATTGAGAAGCAAGAGATGATATGGGAAGCAGCCAACAAAGCTAGAATAAAATCAACGACTGGCTGAGATCTAAATGGAGGCTAACGAGAGACCAATTCAACCCTTATCGATCATGTGTTCTAGATAGGGGAAAATAAAAAGAAAGAAAAAGATATTGATGTTTACCACCATACAAAATTAAATGGGACCTAAAGTTATGTTTTAAAGACGTAAAGGTAGCTTTGAAATATTGATAATAGTGATAAATTTTGGTCGTACTGGTCCCCCAATATCATCAAATATAGAACCAAAACACCATTTTTTTTCTGGTTTGTTTTTGCCTTTTTGGTGGTACAGTTATGCATTCTTATGTTTGAAATTGTACTGTGCAATGGATTTTATTTTTAGAAAAAAAATAGCTGTTGACGTGAGTGGACGTGAGACCTAGCTACAAAATACACATGCTAACGTTAGCTAATCTGGTGAAGTACTGCTAATAATCCATAAATTAATCAAGCTTGTAAGAGTCATATATATTTGAACAGAAAAATGCACCCTCTATAATTTTTACAAGTTCTAATCCACAAATTAATCAAGCTACACATCTTGTTTTCTTCTATTGCTATACTCTCTCGCAGCGGTACACTACATGTGATAATGCTTGTAAAAGGGAAACTTTATTAAGCATCAATCACATATATTGTTTCTCCACATTCTTATTTGTTCTTACCCACTCCCTTCATTCTTAAATATTTTTTTGGGGTTTATGAAACTCTTTAAAATATACGCCATTTTACAAAATTAAGGCACCTTTTATCTTATTTGTTTTTAATATTATCCTTGCATTAGAAACAGAATAGTTTTTAAAATGAGATTGTATTTATTAGTTATGAGTTGTATGAATAATAAATAAGGATAATAATCCATTTTAAACTTTTTTTTATATTTCATTAGTATTGATAAAATTGCCAAAAAACGTAAATTTTAGAATGGAGGGAATATTATATATGACTGATTAGATTCCTAAGAACTTTTTTTTCACCTATTCTAATACTATTACGACATGACTGTTGGGTCGTTCAACCAAAAAAAATTAAAATAATTTATGTAGACAAAAAAAATTTTACTTTAATTTTAGTGGACATAAATAGTTGCCTCGGATTTGATAAATCCGAGAGTCTAATTAATCGGACTTTCGGATTTGTCAAATCCGAAACAATATAAAAAAATAAAATATTAATTTTTTTGTCATTTTGAAAAAAAAAAAAAGGAACCGAGGTCAAAATGTATACAGTAAACTAGGATTTCTAAAATCCGAGAGCTTCCTCAACATAAATTTTTTTAAAAAAAAAAAACTGAAGGGCGGGAAAATTAAAAATTTTATTTATGGAGGGAAAGTTTAAAAATTTAATAAATGAACAGTGAAATCGGATTTCAGAAATCCGAACGACCTTTTTTTAAAAAAAAAACAAATCTTTTAGTGGAAAAAACTTTGAAAATTTGAGTTTTGATAGGAATTCGCATTAAATTGACATATCCACTTTTTAAAAAATAAAAAATAAAAAATATTGTATTAGATATGATACTAATAAAATATTTTATTACTAATAATTATTAGGAATTCACATTAAATTGATGAAAAATATATATTACTAATGTTACGTAGCATTATTAAATCTAATAGGAATTTGAATTAAATTAATTCAGTATAATTGATGAAAAATATATATTAATAGTGTTACGTAGTGTTATGTACTATTTGTACGTACTAGTATTTTGTAGTACATTAATACTATTACTTACTATACATAACTGGTACTAGTGTTACTTATTACTATTAAATCTGTTAGTCATTAGATATTATCATTAATTCAGTATAATTCATATGTACTAGTGTTATGTACTTTCTATACGTATTAGTATTATATAGTACATTAATACTATTACCCACTATACATCAGTGATACTAGTGTTACTCATTACTGTTAAATTTGTTAGTCATTAGATATCATCATTAATTCAGTATAATTCATATGTACTAGTGTTATGTACTTTTTTATACGTACTAGTATTATATAGTACATTAATACTATTACCCACTATACATCACTGATACTAATGTTACTTATTACTGTTATATTTGTTAGTTATTAGATATTATTATTAATTCAGTATAATTCATGTGTACTAGTGTTATATACTACTTGTAT